CTTTCATCTGCCAAGAAGACAACTGAGCAGAGACCAGAGTTGCTTCAGGGCTGGAGCAGTTTGATTCTGGCATGGTTGAAGACCCATCTGATTAGGAAAGAACAGTGGAGAAAGTTTGCCTTTAAACCAATCCTACAGATTTCTCCTCAAAATTCCACCCTGAGTCTGTTTCACATTATCTGATACCTCTCTATGGATTTAACTGAGCCTTTATTTTGCCTCAAAGAACTGTGTGTTGTGTTAGAGAGGCATCTGCATTGTTCTACCAGAGCTTCAGCCTCTCCTCAGACAAGAGGGAAGCCCATTGTGTGGTGTCTTTGATACAAACCAGCCAGAAAGCAGCCTGGGGGGGGAAAAAAATTTCCCAGTTTTTGGCAGCAGAACTGTCTTTCTGTCTTCTTCCTGCCCCCTCCCTGTCAGTGCCACAGTGTTCACTGTTCTAATAACTCCAGATGGAACTCACTTGGGGCATCTCCAAAGTCCTTTAGTAAGACTCGAGGTCAAAACTTGCTGAAAGTTCAGTGTCTCATTTTCCTAATGAAAAAAAAAAGAGTTCCAGGGTTATTTTAGAATTAGGTCTTAGAAGAAACTGGTACAAGAAGCTACTTTAGGGCTGTAATTTAGTGACAGTGTAGCAGATTTGTGGTGGCTGCTGGAAACTTTTCACCTCGGGTGAGATGAACCCTACAAAACGCAGGTGTTGGTGGCAGAGGGGATGGGTCAGGGCTCTGGGGACTTGATTATTTCAGATGCAGTGCCTGGCTGGACCTTCCCCCTGGAAACTGCTCAAGGAACTTCACATAGTGCTTGTTTTGGTTGGAGTGAGGCCTGTTGGATTGGGAAAGTGGAGGTGGCTTGAGGGAAACTGCAGCTGATGCTGACACACTTGTCAGGGGGTTTGGATCATAGGTTATAAAAGATTTGGGTTGGAATGGAGCTTAGGGATCATCCAGCCCCAATCCCCTGCCTTGGGCAGGGACACCTCCCACCAGCCCAGGCTGCTCCAAGCCCCATCCAACCTGACCTGGAACACCTCCAGGCATGAGGCCTCCACAGCAGGGCAACAAAAGAGGGAAAATATCAATTACTACTATTTCTTCATCTTCTAACTCTGTCTAGTAGTAGTTTTCCTTCTTTTCATTGTGTCTGAGTAAAATCTCTTCTTGCCCTTTCCTTCAAATATTTATAGTTTTGTGATAAACAGAACCTCGCTGAAAACTTAGCTGTATATAGCAGAAGACACAACACTCTTTAAGTGTTGCTCCAAAGGGCTTCAGACTAAGAATAGGATGTTATAGTTATCTCTGATTGCATCATATGATTTGAAGTGTTTATCATTTTGGGTTGGATTAAGCTAATAGAGCATTTAACTACTCCTGGATTTGAGGGTGGGGAGAAATGTGAAGTCTTCTATGGAAGAATCTAAAATACATCTGTGGTTTGAGGCTTACAAGGAATGGTAAGTTGAGTTCAGTGTTGTAATCAGTCCCTTTTGGTTCCTGAGGCTCTCGTTAGTGACTGTAACTCCGTGGAAGGAATATCTCTGATCTCATGTGGGTTTGGGGCATCGGGGAGCCCTTATTTTGTCTTTTGGGGGCATTCTGAACTCCTCTTGACAACAGCCAACAAATAAACACCATTGTGAACTTCTGACAGCTGATGTTGTGCTTTCCTGGAAGCTGTTTTAAAATCCATGAGAAGTGCACATTTCTACAGGGAATCATGAGATGTTAAGGGGTTGGAATGGAGCTTAGAAGTGATCCAGCCCCTGCCCTGGGCAGGGACACCTCCCACCAGAGCAGGTTGCTCAAGGCTCATCCAACCTGGCTGTGAACACTGCCAGGGTTGGGGCAGACACAGCCTCCCTGGGCAACCTGTGCCAGTGTCTCCACCCTCACAGGGAAAACATCTGCCTGATATCAAACCTACATTTCCCTCTTTTAATTTCTCCCCATTGCTCCTTGTCCTGTCCCTGCAGCTCCTAACACAGATCCCTCTGCAGCTTCCCTGGAGCCCCTTCAGCTCCTGCAGGTTGCTCTGAGGTCTCCACACAACCTTCTCTTCTCCAGGCTGAGTAGCCCCAACATCTGCACTGGTGATGCCTTCGACACAGAGAAGGAAACGTGCATTTCCAGCCTTAACTCCCTTGGAATTTGTCATGTTTTTATTTACACATTAAACAGAATTGATGTGTTCCAGGGATGCTAAGCAAGAAACCAGTGAGATACTAGAACGTGTTATCTGGCTATATCAAATCATTTATTGATAGGGAAATGTGAGCTTCAGCATTGTGCCAGAGCCTTCCACCAAGTGGAAGGGGTCAGCCTGGAGCTGATGCTTCTAAGACTTCTAGGCCTTAGGGGCAGAAAAAAGCTCCAGTGATTGATGTAAATCTTTTTGTTTGTGCTTCTGTTGCCTTTTGCAGTGGGTGGGAAAGAGGAGTTGGAGTCAGACTCTGTTCCTTACTCTTCTGTAGTGACATTGACTACTAAAGGTTTGTGTTCTGATCTTTAGACTGAAGCTGTTCTTTGCTTTGGTCTTCCATTCCCTTCCTGTGCCTGTTTGATGTAGGAAATAGGAGAATCCTGTGTCTAGCACTCTCCAAACTCATTAGAGGGTTTTGGGCGCTGGCACAGGTTGCCCAGAGCAGCTGTGGCTGCTCCATCCTTGGGAGTGTTCCAGGCCAGGTTGGATGGGGCTTGGAGCAGCCTGGGCTGGTGGGTGGTGTCCCTGCTCATGGGGGCCAAACCTCCCCAGGCATAAGCAGGAGATGGGAGCATCCTGTCTCCATGACAGAGGTAGGAGCTAATGTTCATCTCATATGTTCCCTGTCGTTTCCCGTCTGCCCAGCTGTTCACCAGCAGATCTTGTGGTTGTCCTCCGCCAGGTTGGATGGGGCTTGGAGCAGCCTGGGCTGGTGGGTGGTGTCCCTGCTCATGGGGGCCAAACCTCCCCAGGCATAAGCAGGAGATGGGAGCATCCTGTCTCCATGACAGAGGTAGGAGCTAATGTTCATCTCATATGTTCCCTGTCGTTTCCCGTCTGCCCAGCTGTTCACCAGCAGATCTTGTGGTTGTCCTCCTCCCTCTACTTCCTTCATTCCT